AGAGAGAGAAGAAGATCCAATTTTTAAAGACCAGCAGCAAATAATTTCAAGAACCCATCAAGAAAAACAGACCAAACACCTTGAACGGAAAACAAAACAAAAGGGTATTCAATCAATTCATGAAGGTAACAAAGAAACTAAAGATTTACTGCAGCACAACAAGCACAGAACAAGATTAAGTGATGTCTGAATGAGATGAACATCAAATTCAATACCTTGTTTTTTTAATGTTTTCTGAATTAGTGGGCTGATGGCAACTGGTGAACAGCAAAATTGTTTGTGGGAGTTTGAATGTCTGCTGTCATTAAGTGGTGATGTGCACAGAGAGGTTTCTGTATTTTCATGGATAATTTCTGCGGCAGTATAGAAAGACTAAACTGCCCCTACCTCATTAACTTCATTAATAAAACAGTTAATTAATAGTTAATAACTGCCCCTTTGACAGCCTAATCCAATTCACACCTCAAACTGATGTATGGAAAGGGTTTTAGTTATGAGCAACTAAATAATTGGTCCAAATTGTAATGAGAAATCTTGGAGAATCTTGAGAAGGAAAAAATAAAAGGGAATAATTTTTTTTTAAAAGGGAAATAATCACAATGGTGAAAATTCAGTCTAATATTTATAGAGAAGTGATTGGGTTGATTTGATTTAGCATTTGTGGTAGTCATTTGACTCAATAATAAATTGGCAATTTCTATGATTTACTTAGGGGGATATCACTATTGGTGGGGAATATATATAATTGGACGATGTTTACATAAAATATTTCACACCATATATATCATTAGCAATTTTAGTTAATTTTATTAAGGAATATGTGTGAATGACACAAAAACAATAACACGGTGTCTCGATTTTGTTGCATTATTCATCACATTATTTTTAAAATTAATGCCAAAGTAACTTTATTTTTTATTAATAATCTTCTCATGTATTTCATTAGATGTACATGTAGAGCACAAAGAAGACACATCCAATAAAAATTTAATACTGCATATGCGATTGTCCAACAATTATTAATTATACGATACTACATTAGTGACACATTTTTATTTATTTTATTTTTAAATATGTCGATTTACTATGAAGTATGTGCATTATTAAATAAACACCATTATTACTTTGTCATATTATTATTGTAATGAAATAAAATCTTATATGATATTTTCCTATTGAATGATGACTAGTATTCGACCTGTGCATTTGCACAAATATAAATAAAGTACTACTATGAGTTATTTGTATGCATATAATGATTAATGATTTTTCTTGCACTTTTTTTGCAGGCTAAATTTACAATTAAAGGAGCTGGAATATTTATTTTTTAAAATTTCGTTTATCACATTGGATGTAATGTATATTTTGGTATGTATTTTTTGTGATTATTTATTATTTATTTAGAAATTTCAAATACGTTTTTTATTTTTCAAAAGAAGTTAATTTAAATGTACCAATAATAATAACATCTAATCACGTTAAATAGTTAACATATTATATGGTCAGCTGTAAGTAAATCAAAAATTTAAAATGATTTTTGCAATTTTGAAGTGATTAGTGTGTTGATTATCTAATAATTAAATGAGAGGTTTAATAAATAAAAAGTAACGATTTTTGGAGGGAAAAAGTTATATTGTCACATATGTATAATTTAATAGGTTTTATTAAATGCTCATGAGCCAACAATTATATATATATATATATATATATATATAGATTATTTTTTATCTTTTTTCATGTGTGACATGTTCATCATAGGACATGTTCATCAAGGTCAACACATGTTTTCTATTCACATGAAATACCTCTTTATTTTTTCCTAAATATTATGCCAATTACCTATTAGTATATATATGAAACCTTATATGTTGAAAGAGACAGGAACTCTTAGATTGTTGAATAGGAAGTCAAGAAAGAAATAAAACTAGAGAAGTATTGGGTCACAATCCTGATCATACACTTATAAAATTGACATTTGCAAACACCAAATAATAACATTTTAATTAACCTAAAAAAAACATTTTAATTAACATTATTTTTTTAAAGTACATATATATTCTTTTAACAAATATGGATTCTTTAATCCTAAACGTCATATGCTAAAAATCGACATAAATAAAATTGTGACATTCTATACTATGAATATGCAATTTTTATTAAAAAAAAGTACGACTGTCAGCCTATCTATTAGTTAGACTGCCTCGTATAAAAATTTCTACGTTGTGCATTTTGTAGAAGATGGAGATAACAAGTAAAGCCACTCATTATTTATTTATTTATTTATTTTGTTATTAAATTTAGGTAAAATCTATGTCCCAAATTTTGTCATGCATGGCTCAATAATTAAAAGTTTTCAATTGCCCACTCAAGTGTCAATAATAATGTTTGGATCTTATTATGAAAGATGAATGAAAATGCTAGGATTCTCGAATTTTACAAAGTGATCATTTTTTGAACATCAATTGTGTCTTGTAGTCAAGTTTAAGAAAGCCCCTGAAACATTACATGTGCTAATTCAGCCTTGTTTTGGACTCATCTTACAATAGGTTTTTGTTGGTATTGGTTGCTGTTTTCTCAAATTTGCCAAACTCATAGTAAAATTATGGCAACCTTTAAATTGAAATTGTTTGAAAAAAATATGGCAACTTAACAACAACACTACTATATAAAATATATAGTGGGTTATATTTTCTTGAGAAAGCTATTCAAAATTATGCATTCAAAAAAAATATTTGAGATGTTATAAATGGAATTATTTTTTTTATTAATTTTATATTTTTTAAAATTGACCGAAAGAAAAAAGTATTTCCCAACCAAATTTCAGTCATCTATATAATTTCAGCTGTACTTATGTATTTTCTAGAGTTCAATGAACATAGTAGCTTTCTCGAACAAAAGTACTTAATTATTAACATGAAAAATCACACTTTTGAAAATTACTGTAAGTAGTTATTTTAAATCCAATCCAAACATCTGTTCGCTATAAATTTTAATTAATAATTTTAAAATAATCTTCAATACTGTTCACTGTTACAATCTGCTTTTGGTCGATCTGGATCTACTAAAATAAGACAGTCTACCAATTAAAATTTGTAATAAAAGTAAGACTTTATTTAGACAAAAATAAATAAATAAAAACATCAGGGGCAAAACGGTCAAACCAGCACTAAACCCGGGTAACTGTAGAGAAGAACGTGGGGGTCCCACAAAAACTGATAATTGTTTAGGTGCCTAGGTGGAGTTTGCTGACGTGGCGAGAGGTAGCAAGCGTGAGGGGCCCCACTAAGTATTGAGGTGCTTATTACCACCAATTGTTGATCGTGCGGCTGATATTCATCTTCGGAGATAATCTGAGCCGTCCATTTGTTTATAAGTTTGTTCTCTTTTCTGTTTTTCGCACATTTTGAACCGAAGATTGGTTTGTGAAGAGTGAACTAACTTGTGTCTTTGTAGGATTTAGTAGCTCATAATTGAGTTGAAATAAATAAAAGTTGGATAGAACTAGATACGGGTAATTTACTCCTGTTGGAATAATGATTTTGATACAAATTTTTTTATTTAAAATTCAACTTAATTTTTTGCTAAAGACAAGTGACAAATATGGTGACCGTCATCTATTGTTGATGATGCCACTGTAAAATAAATCGAATATATATATATATATATATATATATATATATATATATAGTTGAGATCACATGAGAATGGTAGATAGTGAAAGAAATAAGAATGATTATAGATCATTAGATCGGTACGATCAATGGACATAATTAAGTCAAAATTTAATAAATATGGTCAAATATAGGATGTCAATCCTGTAAATAGTTGAATATATGGTAGTCAAATATATACCACTTGCCACGAATTAAGGGTAAATCTATAATTGGCAACTCACAGTGGGTCCCACCACAACCAAACAACCATGATCTCTCTCTCTCTCTCACACACACACACACAAATAATCGGCACAGAGACCACGCAGCCGTACATCATCTTAAATCATCCACCGTGCAGCCGCCGCTCGTTCGCCGCACCTCCTCCATCTCAGGCCCGCCGTTCTACCGCCGAATACCTTCACAAACCGGCTGCCGTGCATCCGTCGTTCGTCCGCTGCTCAGGCCTCCTCCGTACATATTCCCAAGCCGTTGCCGTGCATCAGACTTGACTCTGTCAATTTTGCCATCTCAGACTTCCTCTGCCTACCTTCACCAGCCCGCCGTCGTGCATCAGTAGCCGCGACATATGAAACTCCGGCGAGGAAGCCGACGAGTAGGTTGTGGGCAACTAGTCTCGGCAAAGTCCTCCTGCACAACTCCTCAGCACCACCCCATTCTCGTCGGCGTCGAACCTCTAGTCACGGTGGTCGGCAGCGGCGAGATCACTGGCTGTAGAACATGATGACGGGGTGCTACACTTTTTTGAACTGGGGGAATTGATTTTGTGAATTTTATAAATAGTAAGGCCTTGATTGCAATTTTAGAAAGTTTCATATATTACAATTTAGTCTAGGGGACAATATTTTTATGTAATGCTTGGTTGAAAATAAATAATATGGTACATATAAATATAAAAAAAATATTATTTATTGTAAAAACATGACTAGTATCTAATATCCTTTATTATTGATATTTTATATTATATTTTGATTAAAAAAATTATCCAATATGCAAATAAATATATTGTGCAATCTAACTAATATTAAGGTGCAAGTTGTCAAACATTATAGTGCAATGTGTCGGTCTGTATTGTGCAGATTGAACCACTCAAACCATTGTCCTATGTAAAATTGAAAATGAACATAATTAATTGGTTTATTCGGTTCGGTTAATCGATTTTTCCTACATAATCGAAATATTTTTTTCTACTTATATCAAAGTTGTATTTAATATGTTAATAATTTTATTTATTATTTAATATTATCTTTAGGAGAAAAAAATCTGAGTTCGGTCGGTTTCGATTTCTACTGTGTAATCTGACAGTGTGTTAACGTGCAACATGTTGTTTCGTATTGTACAACGAGTTGTTTTATAAAGTGCAACATATCCATTTTTTATTTTTTATTTTTTTATATTTACGCTGTGTGGTGTTTTGGTGGGAGCTGTTGACGTTAATTGTGGATTGTGTTGATAGAGTGCAACGGGATGTTTTATAAAGTGCAACGTATTTATTTATAAAGTGCATCGTGTTGATATATAAAGTGCACTTAAAAAAAAAAAAGTCAAAACCCCTAAATCTCTAATTTGAACTTATTGTGGAAATAATTCATTATTTATAGTAAAACACTATATTTAATATTTTAATATTTTCATTTAATATTTCAGTTATTTTTAAAAAATAAAGCTATATTGAACCGAAATAACTAAAATTTTAAAGGTAAACACATATAATTGATCCGACATAAAATTCGAAAACAAAAAACTAATTCGATCGAGTTCGGTTGCTATAGTGCAATATGTCAGTTACTAATGTGCAATCCATTTAATAATATTTTTTAAAAAATTATAATGTGCATTCCCAAAGAAACTAATGTTTAGTTCGTCTAACATTATTGTGCACTATATTTATTATGTACACCTCAATTTTTGAAACTTTTAATTAATGTGTATTTAAATCAACATATATATTATAAATACTATTTTTTATATATATCGGTCGATTTCATTTATTTTATAAAATAAAGTCAAAACCGAATTGAAATAACTGAAATTTTAAAAATAACAAATGTTAACCAAACCGCACCAAAAATTTTACTCCGACCGTTTCAATCGTTACACTATTATGCTAAAGTGCAATTTCACATAAATTAATATTAATATTGTTTAATATTATTAGGCATTACTCATTACATGTATTTTTAACAAGCATATTTAAATTATAGCGCAATCAATAATTTTTTGACAAATTATTGTGTAATTAAATGTTTTTTGATAAACTAATGTGCAATTATTAAAAATTTGGTAAATTATAAATTTAACTCATGATCTAAATTATAATACATTTTTAATGTGCATTACAAAGAATAATGTGCATTTCATTTATATGCATATTTAGTGTTTTAATATTTTATTATTTTAATAGAATATAAAAAAAACTCTAAATCAAAATAACCAAAAAATGAAAATTAGAACTCGATAACATAACCGAAATAAAAAATGAAATAAATTTTGTATCACGATCGGTTTCGATCATTTTTCTCGGTTTTGTGCATTATGTAGACCGGACATTTTTAACGTGCATATACACTTTCTATATTGTGCAAATCAATTAACATTAATGTGCATTTATTAACTTTTTAATACATTGTAAATCTGCCTCATACATTAAATCGTAATTATAGTAAAATGTTTGAAATTGCCTTAAGGTCCCTAAAAATCATCCAATTTCCATATCAAATCCCCCAACCCCCAATTGACTTTTCTCAGCCCCCAAATCAAAATTGAATCAACCGAAGGCCTTGCCACAGCCTCCCTCTGCCACATAGATACCCTCTCCATCATCGTCGCTGCCGCAATCCCCAGAGAATTTGGCCGTCGGGTCTGGGTGGCGGGGAATGATTGAAGTCCAGCGTGCTGCGACTTGCGCGGTGGCAGACCTGCGCGGAGGCGTGAAGGCGTCCTCGGTGAGTACAGGGTGTGGGCGGTGGTTGTGGGTGATGCTGGGTGGCTCTGGGCGGAGCACCGGTGGGAAGGTCGGCGACAAACGAGGTGGTTGCAGACAAGGGGGCGCGATTTGTGTGTGTATTGGGTATCTGTGGGCAACTGATTGGGCGAACGAGGTAGTCGGCGGCGAGTGGTGGTTCGGCTGCCGACGGACAATCGTTTGGACTCTCTGATGTGGCTTCTCGCCGGCGGTCGCTGTTCGCCGGCAGCAGATCGAGATATAGCGACGGGCTGAGAAGACAGAGATATGTGTGCCGATTTGCTTTGTGTGCGTTAGAGAGAGAGAGAGAGAGAGCGAGTGAGGCAAATAGAGAGGGCGGAGGAGCGGCGACGGCGGCGGACGGGCAGTGGCGGGCCGGTGACTGTGTGTGGGTCAATTTTGTGTATGTGTGTGTGTGTGAGAGAGAGAGAGAGAGAGGGAGAGAGAGAGAAAGAGAGAGAGAGAGAGTGGGGGTGCGGTCAATGGTGGGGTGGTTGGGTTGGTAGGTTTATTAATGTGGAATGGGGCCCACCATAGTGTAATGTGTAAAAATATCACAATACCCTTAATGAAGGTATAATTTTGGTTTTTTTTTAACCATTAAATCATCCGATCTAATGGCTACAATTCATTCTTATTTCTTTCATTGAGCACCATTCTCATGGGAGCGCGACTCTAGCACACACATCTCTCTCTCTCTCTCTCTCTCTCTCTCACCCCTAAACACATGCACGCAGGTTGCAAGCCAAATTCATACGCACAGCTCGATCAGAAATTGCATCCGACCACTGCTCACAGACGCTGCATAATCGAGTCGTGCTCCGCCGCCGGCCAGAGCACCGCCGCAACCCCGCCGCCAGGGACGCCTATAACACGACGATCGATGCTTAATCGCGACACACCCGCCATCATCGACATCCCGCCTCACACATCGCGGGCAGCCAACCCCGATAACTCGACATTCGCCGCTGCCGCCTCTACCTTCGCCAGCGCCACCTCGACCTCCGCCACTGAAACACTCCAATAATCTCTTTCTGTTTTTGTTTTCATAACCAATTCGTGACCTTGTATGGATCGTTGAACCTGGAATTGCAAAATTGACAGCGAATTTCAGAAATTGTGGATGGATTGGTTGAATTCATTGATTTAGGGCTAGGGGCCAGATTTTGTGAATTTGATAACTATGAAGGACTTATGTGAAATTTCATAAATATTAATTATTTTCAATTTAGTTCAAGTGGCAGATCCGTAATTTTATCAATTTTGAGTATATTTAATATAGTTCATGACCAAATATGCAATTTATATCAATATTCTTATAAATACATATTAATAATAAATAAAATGTACATTGTTTCAAAATTTTAATATGTACAATTTTAATATATAAAAATATTAAAATAGTAAATATACTTTTATAATAATAAATGACAAATAATTTTAATTATTTTGATTAATTCGATGCACAATTATATCTACTAAATATAGTTTTTAAAAACACATAATTTAGATGTGATCATATAAAGTAGTGCACTTTATATATCAACATGTTGCACTTTATAAAGGATCGAGTTGCACCTTATAAAACACCACATTGCACTTTATCACCACACTCCACAATTAACGTTAATAGTTTTCGACAAAATACCACACAAAATAAATCTAAAAAAATGAATCTACATAATATTTTAACATACGTCACATCATTTGTCCACATAAAACACAAGCAGGCTAACATACCAAAATTACAATGCACTTTATACATAAGCACGTTGTACTTTTTAAAACAAGACGTTGCACTTTATGAAACAACAAGCTACATTTTATCATCACACTCCACAATTAACGTTAATAGTTCCTACCAAAATACCACATAAAATAAATCTAAAAAAATGAATCTACATAATATTTTAACATGCATCACATCATTTGTCCACATAAAATACAAGCATGCTAACATACCAAAATTACAGTAGTGCACTTTATACATAAGCACGTTGCACTTTATAAAACAATATGTTGCACTTATAAAATAACACCTTTCACTTTATCACGACTATAATATCATTATCATGACTATAATATCGTACGAATAGAGAATGAAACTAACCGAACTCAATTTTTTATTTCAACCAAAAATAATATAAAAATAATAAATGAAATTATTAATATATTATATATAATTTTAATATAAATAACAAATTATTTCGATAATTTAGAATAATTCGGTTAACCAAACCGAATAAGCCAATTAATTATGTTCATTTTTCATTTGATGGGCAATAGTTCAGTTGGTTCAATCTGCACAATATATACTGACACTGTGCACCATATTGTTGGACGAATTGCACCTAATAACTGTTATATTGCACAGTGTATTTTGTTTACATATATACTAATATGTTTAATCATAAAATATTAAATAAAATAATTAAACACTAATAATGATTTTTATAATAAATAATATAATTTATGCAAGTTATTTTAGTTATTTATGTAAACCGACAAATTAAACCAATTATGTAGAAATTTTTAGTTCGATATTTTAAATTTCATTTTTATTAATTGTTTTTACTTTGAAGCAGTGGTGGATATTTCAAATTTCATTTTGATTAAATTTTATATTTCATTTTGATTAAATTTCATTTTAATTAATTGTTTCCCATGTTTTAATACAATTATTTTAGTTAATTCGATTAACCGATCAAATAAACTAATTAATTTTATTCAGGTTTAGATTGATTTTAGACAAAAGATCGGTCGGTTCATAATGTACCAATACTGTGCACAATATTATTAGACGAATTGCACATTAACCCATGATAGGTTGCACATTATTAGGTATTTTATTTATTATTATTGTACATGTACTAATTTAAACTTTATTAATTTACAGATAAGTCCTCAAAACTTGTCTAATTTACAAAAGTGAAACCCCCAAATTTCAACCATAATCTAATTACAACCAGTCCAACAAATCAAATTCCAACCCCTCCAAGAGTCAGCCTCTCGTTGTTCCCCGGAAACCCACCGCAGCTGTGCACACACATCAGCGTAGGAACGAGTTGATGACCAGCTGAACGAGCCCGGCGGCGGCGGCGGCCGGAATCGACATGCGCACCAGAATTATTGCCTGACATATACTGTAAGAAATTGAAAGCGCCGGCGGACGGGAAGAAGATGTACGGCGGCGTGTCGATTTCGGAGGCAGCTTGAACCAGCAAGTGCGAGAAAACGACGGCAAAAATCGTTGTCGACTTCCTTCCGCCGTCTAACAGATTTTTCATGCGGCGTGGACCGAGGACAGAGAACGATTGACGAGGAACGAGGTGCGCGGCTTGACATTGACGTTCTCCGTGATATCACGAAGCTCTCCAGCGGGAGGAGACGCGGCCGACATTGGAAGAGAAGGTAGGGAGAAAGCCGGAATTCGTGGCAGACATGGGCCGTCGGTGCGAGAGAAAAGGGATTAATGGCGCGCGAGAGAAACGGCAGTGGTAGCAGGCGGCGACGAGCGGCGGTGAGCGGCGGTAGGTGGTTGTAGGGTTAATCTCCGGTGGGCACAGACGAATGGATCTGATTGCAGATATGTGTGTGGTGAGAGAGAAAAGTGAGGTTTTAATTAGGATGGTGATGGTGAGGTCCACGTATGGTAAGTTAGGTGGATTTGTGTGTGAGTGAGTAATTACCACACTGCCCTTATTTATGGTCAAATGTATACATTTGACCACGAATTGTATATCTATTTACTAAATTACCACAACAAGTTTGACTGCCATATTTAAATTTTGACTTAATAACGACCGTTGATATGTTAGATCCAATGATTCAGACTCATTCTCATTTCTGGCATTAAGAGTATTCTCATATGATCCTTTCTCTCTCTCTCTCTATATATAGTTTTAGGGTTACAATTACCATAATTATACCTAATGGCTAAAACAGAAAGTACAAATATAATACACAATAACACCCCCTCAAGTTGGAGGATGCGGATTCCGAATGCGCAACTTGCCAAGAAAGAAATTAAATTCACGTTTCCCAAGCGCCTTGGTAAAAATGTCAATCAGATGTGCACCAATGAGAACATGAGTAGTATTGATGAGACCCTGTAGAAGAGCATCACAAACAAAGTGAAAATCCACCTCAATGTGTTTAGTGCGCTCGTGAAAAACAGGATTCGCAGCAATATGCAGAGTAGATTTACTATCACAATGCAACTGCATAGGTTGAGAATGAGCAACACCAAGACAAGACAACAATCCCCGTAACAACTTCAGCTCGCATAAGACAGTAGCCATCCCCCGATATTCAGCCTCAACAGAAGATCGAGCAACAGTATGTTGTTTCTTGGTATGCCAAAGAAACATGAGACTGACCCAGTTGAACAAACCAACCCGAAAGAGATCATCTAGTGAGGGGACAAGTTGCCCAATCCGAATCACACCACGCATATAGTTGAAGATCACAGTCAGAACGAAGAAGGATCCCCTGACCAGGAGAGCCCTTCAAATACCGGACCACACGCAGTGCATCGTCCCAGTGAGACTGTTGTGGTTGATGCATGAACTAAGCAAACATATGCATAGAGTAGGACAACTCAGGACGAGTAACTACTAGATAAATGAGTCGCCCTACCAAATGCCGATAGCGCTCGGGATCAGACAAGAGAGCACCATCAGCGAGAGAAAGCTGATGATTTTGCTCCAACGGAAAATCAGCTAGCTTGCTTCCCAATAGTCCGACTTCAGCAATAATATTGAGAGCATACTTCCGCTGACAGAGAAAGAAGGCAGAAGCATTCCGGGAAACCTCGATACCTAGAAAATACTTAAGCAACCCAAGATCCTTCATGTGGAAACAATGATTCAAATAACTCAAGAAAGCTGCAATGGAGGAGGTATCATTGCTAGAAATAATCAGATTATCAACATACACCAATACCTGGAGATGAATAGAACCACGATGCAGCGTAAAAAGAGAGTAATCATGGTAGGACTGACAGAAACCCTAATGTTGGAGAGCCTTCGCTAAGAACAGTCGGACTGTAACCATTTTGGCGACCGGAGCAAAATTTTCATGATAATCAAGACCTTCCACCTGATTGTTCTTCAAAATTACTAGACGCGCTTTATACCGTTCAACAGTACCGTCGGCCTTGTGTTTAATCTTAAAGACCCATTTGCACCCGATAGCACGTTTCCCAGAGGGGAGAGAGACCACATCCCACGTGCCATTATTTTCCAAAGCACGAATCTCATCCTGCATAGCAGCTCCCCATAAGCTGAAGAGGTTCGGTCACGGCCGCAAAACTACGGGGCTTAATGTAGAGGCGACAACAGCTAAGAATGCTCGATAAGCTGAAGAGAAAGACATACAAGAAACGTAATGTGCTATGGGATAAGGCGTACCTAAGGATGAAGATGCCTCGGGAGAAGCAGTGAGGGGAGCAGTCGAGGAACAGACAGTATCAACCACAAAGTCCTTCAGTCGAGTAGAAGAAATCTTAGTCTGATGACCACGACCTAAAGACTCCTCCGGAGGAGAAGGCACAACCAAAGGAGAAGGTGCCACTGGAGGAGTAAGAGAACCCCCCCGCCATCGGACGCTCGCATATCAAGAGGGACATCCCGAGTGTCAGAAGACACGAGAAGCACAAAGATCACTGGAGGCTCTTCATCATCTGGCTCAGAAGAAATCGGCAAGACAAAAGGTAGGGGTAGAGAGTCAGACTCAGACGAGGTAGTCAAATAAGGGAAGTCAATCTCTAGAAAATCCACATCATGAAAGACAAAGAAAATCTGACGATCCCAATCATACAGACTCCACCCCTTCTTGCCAAACGGGTATCCAACAAACACACATCGACGACTCCGAGTAGTAAACTTGTCACCATTGTGGTCTTGGTTATGAGCATAGCAAATGCAACCAAAAACACGCAAATGAGACATGAGAGGAACAAAGTCGTAAAGAATCTCATACGGAGTTTTACCATGCAAGACCAATTAAGGGGTACGATTGATCAAATAAGCCGCAGTCAGAACACAATGACCCCAAAAAGAAAGCGACAAATGATCCTAGAACAACAATGCACGAGCGACATTTAGTATGTGTTCATGTTTGCATTCCGCATGTCCATTCTACTGAGGGGTGCTTACGTAAGATGTCTCATGTAAAATCCCTTGAAGATGAAAATAAGAGGCCAAACACATGAACTCACTTCCATTATCACTACGAACAACACACACTATTTATCAAATTGTCGCTCAATCATAGAAAAAAATTCAGCAATGTGGAAGCAACCTCCGTCTTATCATTCAATAAATAAACCCATGTCCCACGAGAACAATCATCCACAGTAGTCAAACAATATCGTGCACCACAGGACGGAACACGATACGGACCCCATAAATCAAAATGAATCAAATTAAAGTCTCATGACTAACAGTCCGTCTGAGAGGAAAACTACGAAAACAAGCATCACACGATTTATGCAAATTACGAGAACTAGAATCAATTACAGGAACTTGGGACAATACTTGAGCAGACGGATGGACCAAACATTGGTGCCACACATCAGGAGAAACCTTTCAAACACAAGAAACTGTCGTAGAAACCGTATTTCGAAAGAAGTAGAGACCACCCAACTGCTCACCTGCACCAAGCATTACAGTCCGAACGATCCAACAATTGATTTAGTGAAATCAAGTTGCACCGAAGGCTGGGAACGTATAAAGCATCATAAAGAGTTATATGAGCTCCCAAATAAACAGTCTCAGCCTTGCTAGCCATAGTCAAGGAACCATTAGACAATTGAACAGGACGGGCGGTAATATTCCGAACATCATAAATAAACTCTAGGAACCCTATCATATGATGAGTTGCCACACAGTCGTACATTCAATCAAATAAACCACGCGTACCAGACAAGAGATTCAAAACTCCACTAGCAGTGGAAGAACCAACAGAACTGGCAATAAATGAATCACCGATACCACTGGAGAACACCGCATTCGCACGAGCACCACTCTTGCCACGAGCTCCACCACGGCAGCCACCATCAAAATTACAACCTCAGCCACCATTAGAATCGAACCATTCTAGATACCCAATAATCTCAAAGCAAGTAGCGGCAAAATAGCCCATTCAGCCACAATGAGAACACGTGAAACGATCACCAGCACGGTGGCCAACAATTTTGGCGCAACCTTTGGCCGCGCCTGACATGACCGATGTCAAAGAATATGCCATGATACGAGAGAGACGAGGCGTGGTCGAGACGATATTTCAATCGACAACAGTAGTGCTTTAATCGAGAAGATGACGATGGACAAGACGACGGCATGGACGAGAGCACCGTGGGAGGACAACGATTGCCCAGTGGACAACAAGCCGCAACAACGATTCGAGCCACATCAAATAGCCGTGAATCCAGGATCGAGCAGCAACCGTGAATCTTTATGTGGTTTATGAATTGGCAAGACTTTGGATAATTTATAAATTTAGGCCTCCCTAACATGAACTATGAATTGTCCGTTCACATCAAGCACTTAGTGTACAGCACAATAACAGCGGACAAGTTCATCTGCACTAGGTAATTCGCCGAACTGATTTTNTGGAAATCAGATATGAGTTATGGGATAAGAACAATTTGACAGAAGCTTCAAGCCCACGGATGAAGACAAATCGAAAATCATGGATGAAGACAGTCAACAAACAAATTTTGACAGCTGAAATTTTGCGATCCGAACAAAAAACCAAGCTATGATACCATGCTAAAGACAAGAGACAAATATGATGACGACCAGTTATTCTCGATGATGCCGCTGTAAACAGTAAATATAATTAAATAATATCAATCATAATTATACCTAATAGCTAAAACAGTAAATACAACTATAATACACAATAACACTTTTCGTATTATTAATATAATTAAATAATATCAATCAATTGTAATCACATAATTTTCAACAAATTTCATTATTTACTAATTCACATACTTTTAACTATCAATCACTTTCACACAATTATTGTACTTTTATAAAATATTAACTTTAATCATTGCATCAAATATAACCTCAAATATCCACTTAAACATATTTTTTTCAATTTTAACTCACTTTGTCAAAAAAAGAAAGAGTATTTCAAAATCCCTTTTCTCCTGTCGTCTTCCCCAAACCCCCGTGTCCTAAATTTCCCAAATATAATTTCAACCGCCTTCCCCTGCGAGATCGGGCGCGCGCACGGTGGCGACTCCACTGGGTCACGCCGCTTATTTGCCGAG